TTTGGAAGGCCAAACAAAGTAGTTTCGCTTTCACAACGAAACACACGGCGGGCTAGAGTGAGCGGAGGCCGGCTTGAGTGAGCAGAGGGCGGCGGCTAAAGTGAGCGGCGGCCGGCGGGCTTAAGAACGGCGCAGCCGGCGGATTCGACGAAGGAGCGGCCGGCGGGCTTGCGGCAACCACATGTGAGGACCCCGGGCTAGACTCCGCTTCGTCCATGGTGAAAGTCAATCTGGCGATCAACAGCGCGAATTTGATATATTTCCTCAGCGACCAGCACGGATCAGCTCCAGGCATGACGAAGCGGATATCGTCCTCTTTTGGAAGGCCAAACAAAGTAGTTTCGCTTTCACAACGAAACACACAGCGCCTTCACGACATGGCGGCGGCGGCAACAACAATACTACAGCGAGAATAAAAGTTACGCCTTCTTTCTTTGCGTGAACATTTGGGCGGCATTATGCAAATCTTCCCACATCGTGACGTAGACATGTGGGGGCGTGTTAGAACGAGCCATTTTAGGTAGGCGTGGTTGACTCTTAACTTTTATAAAGAATATCTCTTTGGATTTGAGACTTTAGTCTTTGCAACTTTACAGATCTTCTTTATGCACCAAGAGCTTGTAACACTCCAAAGAGAAAGGAAAAATTGAAATCGCATCATATGACCCCTTTAAAAATGTTATGCAGACTTTCAATGGATGGAAAAAAGATGATGAGAGAATATAAAAAATATCTTAATTTGTGTTGCTAAATGGCACCTGCAAAATGACTGACAGGCAAAAGGCACATCAAAAGCTGTTTGATTGGCTAAAGAAAGAAGTGGACTGTGACCCCTTTTTATTTTATTGTTTAGAGAGCCTTGGGCTGCCACAGAGATGGCGTTATATCTCTTGACATTTATTTCCATGTTATGTTTTAAGGACACAGGACAATATTCTATTCCATAAAGACTTAGCAACCCTAATAGGGCTGCACGATTATGACAAAAATCATAATTGTCGATTATTCGATGTGACCCTGTTCCCCTCACACACACACACACGACGCATTATTCTGCATTTGAACAGTCAATAGCAAATACTTAAACTAATAACAATAAGCTAAGAAAAAAACATATCTTAAGCATGCAGAATAACATAAGTGGACTTTGAATGATTGATTGCCGCTTTGAACGATTACATAATTGTGGCATCCATAATTGTAATTGCGATTAGAAATTCGATGAATTGTGCAGCTCTAAACCCTAACAACACCTAGTAATTGTCCAGAACATCCTGGTAACCAGCTAGAACCTCCTAGTGATGCTTAGCAGCCAACCAAAACAGCCTAGCAACCAACTATAACACCCTGAAAACCAAATAGCAAAACACTTCATCCATATTTCAGCAAAAAATGATGCATGGTATATGCGGTCTCACTATATGAAGACACTCCACTAGAAATTCATCTCCAGAGCTGCTGATAGTTGACTTCACAAACATTTCACCATTTCATTTGATAAAAACTAGCTATCATTATACAGAATCAAAAATCCTAATAAATTATTGTGTTTTATGAATTCAATCGATTAGAACTGCTTCTTGGTTATTAAAATTCAATTAAACCATTAAAAGGGAATCCAGAAAATTTTAAACAGAAACCACTGTATTTGGGAAAAATAAAACAAAAACTATTGTAGGGCCCTAAAAACCTGATTTATGCTCAATTTTAAATAAACTGTTGTTAAATTTAATATGTTTCATAATTTCAATTAATTAGACATGAATTAGACATGAAAAGCACGGAATTCAGAAAAGTTCAAATGGAATCCAGAAAAGCCCTTCAAGACCCCATCCTGTGCACCACAGTGTTCTAAGGCTCCAAATGTAGCCCATGACGCTGTGTATGGGGAATGTCAAAAAGCACAGAAGTGAACCAGTGATGACCCATGTGAAGCCCAGCCATATCTCGGCACCATAAAATTGTCTAATTAAAAGTCCTGTATAAACTAGGCTTTGTTAAGTTCGAGTTTAACCTTAATGTTTTTATCAAATGAGAGTCACTGCAATTAATTCAAAAACAGTATGCAACTATTGAACATAAAGGTCTGTGCTTTTCTTTTAAATGACTGCATTTTGCTGGAGTTTACTGGTGATTCTGAATGGTATGGTACTCGATATCAGGTGTCTGTTAGATGAGAGCACTGCAGAAGCGGACTGAATGAAACTCATCATTCACAAGCACAGTAGCTAGAATTTAAAACCCTGATGAAAAGGCTCAGTAAACTGTTGAAAAGATGCAATATACTCTGTTGCGCACACACAATATCTCTTCTCTTTGTGCTCTAAACTTTTCATTATGGTGTGAAGGTTCACCTGTGACTCAAGAAAGAGGTTTTGCAGTAAAGCACACCATCATCTGTAAAGCACCCAGAATGTGCATAAAATGCTTTTGTGCCGCTCTGCATTGGAGCCTTTCATACAGTTTTTGCAATGAAAGATAACTAAAGCTACACTATGTCACTTTTCTGTTTGAAATTAACAATTTAAATAACACTTGTTGGGACGGATTTCCTAGGAAACTGCATACTATCATCACTTGTCTGTGTATGTTTAACATAAGATCATATCGCTTTTATTTAATTCTTTATTTAAATGGTAAATCCAATCCCCCAAGAGAGTATGCCATTATTTTTTGATGAAATTCGCCATTAGATTGATCCACACAGAAAAGCACAACTCACGTAATTCCCAAAACAAAGTTCCTCCACAAGCAACTTGCTTCAACCACTAGAGAGCCTAAAGTTACATAATGTAGCTTTAATGTTTAGCCTATATATTTGTTTTATTGTATGTATCATGTCTGTTGTCCTAGTAAATAACACATTGTTTATACAGTGTATATATTTATGTAGTAATAAAATTTGCATTAAAAAGTAGCCTATTTTACAATATAATTTGTTTTGTTATATTAAATATAATTTATGTAATTTTATGTATTTTTGTGTTTTCTCTTCACTTATAATGTAGCCGTGTGTAGTTAGCAAGTTAATAAGGTATAGATATTCTGAAACACTATGGATCAGTATTGTCAGATACTCAAGGTTGCAATATATATATCATATATGAAAAAAGTTTTATACGTTTTGTTAACTGAAGCTACACAAATCTCTGCAATATGTACATTCCAAGTATTATTTGTTTATTTATTTATAAGTCGCTATGAAACGAAAGTGGTGACATCTTTTTCATATAGTAACATACTTTGTTTAACAGTATGTACAACATACTGAGTGTAACAGAATTGAAAAAAAATGTAGGGCTGGGACTATCCATTGGTTGCTGATTGGATATTGAGATATGGGCAATTCACTCAAAAATAAATGCAAACTTGCTATCATGGAGGGACAGGGTTTAAGCGGACAAAATTACTGGAGAAGTCCAGCATACACAACAAGTGAGAAGTCTGTCATTTTTTTACCGAAATATTAGGTTATGACATTTTAGCTAAACATTATGTGGTCAAAATAAAAAATACAAAATCCATACATGGATGAATCATTCACGATAAGATCAACAACAAGACTTTACAAATTTGATAGAGTGAATTTTCATTTCATGCCAAATTTAGTTTAAATTGTCTTTAATACTATGATATAAAGTGTATCACCCTTTTTTTGGTCTATATCTATCACCCATCCCAAAACTGCAAATAATTCACCCATGCAAAAATGGAAATTCTGTCATTTACACACCCTCATGTTGTTCCAAAACCATAAGAGTTTCTCTTCTGGGTGAACAAATTATGGTTATATTTTTAAAATATTGTTCTTTGTAGTATTCTTATAATTAAAGTGAAAGGGGGCTCATGTCCTATATTCCAAGCCTTCTGATAGCTTTGTGTGACCAATTAAATTTCAGTCATTATTCACTATTCGCAGAATTTTCCCAGAACTGCTTATCCCTGGCAACCACCTGTTGAAGTGTGATTGCAATAAACAAAAAAATAAAAAAGTTTGGAGTCTGTTTACACCTGTATTTAACACTATCTACTTGTGAACAGATCAGCTGAGATGAATGTTAATGCCAAATTTAAAGAGGATGCATAAGACCCCTGTGGTTAGAAGAAGAGTAGAAGTGTTATCATCAAGCTTTCCCTAGCAGGACAACAAACTCAACAATTCTCTCTCTCTCGTTTTTGTTTTTTTTTGCCGATTGTCAAAACAGATATGGCACCACGGAATAGGCTACTATGTGTAGCAGCAAATATGTCCAGACACTAGATACAAAAATAATTCCTTATTGTCCTGATAAATTAATTAATTCTTTTAAAAGATCACATTCTGTCAAAATACAAAATGTCTTCCCTGGTGTGAATAGGTGCATAGGAATGCATTGTTTTGATGAAAAAGTGTTTTTTTATGTTATGTTTTATTGTATTATGTTTTAGTTTGTGGTAGATATGCCTCATCCTAAATGCTAATGCTAAAAAATAATAATAAATTCAATAATAAATACATTTAAATTAACTTTAGATAATGCATATTATCATCATCTCAAATCACTTCTTCATTTACATACAATATTATATATCGTTGTATAACACTTCTAACCAAAATTGCATCTTCAAGAACAACTGTATTTAGCAAGAAGATAAATTACATTGTATCCCAAACAATAATTTGCTTGTATTCTGCATTCTAAGCAATGGTAAATTCATGGACGGTCTTAAATCCAGCTCGAGAACACGACAACATACAACACTTTTAATCCACGATTCGTGTAATCAAAAGGTAAATCATCTACGACTTAAAGTCCTTGAAGAGTCTCATGGGTTTTGGGTCCCATTAGACCATAGCTACTTTGTTTAAAGCCCATTCACATTCGGAAATCTAAAACAAATTACCTTACCTTAACTTCAAAATGAATATAACGACACGATGTACGAATTTCTACACTACTCTATACTGTAAAACATTTACATAACCATTATTACAGCGCACACATGTGTAACTCACTTACCTTGTCTCCACGTTACTCTGCTTTTGTGTTTGGAAAAAGTTTATCCAACTTGGAAGATTTATGAACAACGCAAATTCGCACGCTGACCACAATGTCCACTGTGTGATTTACTCGGTGTGAGGTACAAAAAAAATAATTGTAAAAAAAAATTACAAATAAAACAACATTGATGATTATGACATTCCCATTATTTTTGTTTGCACAGGTCGGTCGCTTGGTTTGTAGTTAAAACTGATGTCCATTTAAAAATTGGTGCTTTGCAATTTACTGGCCCTTTTCACAGCCAGCATGTCGCGCTGCAACAGCTTTACAAAGTGAAAAGGTTTCGTATACAGAAATGAATCGTTAGAAGGGAAACTAACGAAAAGCATCTGTTCCATGAAAGGCGACCCGGAAGTAGTTTCTAATTGGTCAGATATGTTGAGGACGCCATTCGTTTTAATTCTTTATTTAAAGTGTAACCAAAGCTCCCAGTTTTGACAACTCTTCTCACTGACTATGTCTATTCATGTGTAGTTGCTTTTCAAATAATTAATAAAACAAAAAAAGATCAATCCTGAATTGAACTCATTCACAAAACATCTTAAGGCTAAAAGTAGCTCATAATTCGCTGATTTAGGATAAAATCTTAAAAATAATGGGCATGTCCGTCCTAAATGTAGGACTCCTACATTTTTGCTCTAAGAGTTTTTGCTCTAAGAGTATTTCACAAAGCGTTTTAGCACGCTAGGAGTAGTGAAGAAGACTCCTATGTCACTAAGACCAAGCCACAAACTATCATAAAATGGCTGTTGCCGGCAATCTGCCTCTGAATGTAAACATTTTAGAAACATTTGATAATAATGACCTTTTAAAAAGGCATCACCTTTGGGTTTGGAGGTTACCCCAACTCAAAATTTTCCTTTGATTATATCCTTGTTTTCATTAACCAGTTGGGCAAGAAGTAACAGCTGTTCTTGCATCTAGTTTGGTTTTCTTTTACGTTTGCATGTATTACTATATCAGCCATGATTAGTCTACTCTGTTCATTAAAAGGCTGTTTATATGCTTAACTGCTAATTATTTTTGAGAAGCATAAATGTAAGAGGCTGACAATAAGCTGGACATATACTTGTTTAATTAGTGACACTTATCCTGCATTTTAAAATCTTTATTTGAATGTAGCAATTAACATTTTATTTGAATACGGCAACATAATATTGTGCTCTACAATATTTCTATGAATAAATCTTTGACAGAGACTATCAGCCAATCATTGTGTGCATAGTTAGTAAGCATGCTGACATCATCCATAGCAAGGAGGTCAACTCTTAGCTTAAGACTTCTCTCTATTCCTTATTAAAGTTTGTCTCAGCAGCTTTGTGAATAGGTTTTAAGAGAAAACTCTTAGTTGTAAAAGGGTCATTTTAAAATAATTTGTTGTTGATGATTGCTACCCAGTAAACTATAAGCTTGTGTAATTTAATGACAGTATTTTACCCAACTCCACATTTGGTCATCACATTTTGTATTCAAATCTGATCAAATCACATCTTTATATCAGAATTCTGCCTATACAGACGTATAAAGCAAACTTCTTACACATGCAAGGTTAATTAGTGATGTGAAGTAAAGTGAAAGTAATGTGAAGCCAAGTATGGTGTCCCATACTCAGAATTCGTGCTCTGCATTTAACCCATCCAAGTGCAAACACACAGCAGTGAGTAGGGAACACACACACCGTGAACACACACCCGGAGCAGTGGGCAGCCATGTGCTGCAGCGCCCGGGGAGCAGTTGGGGGTTCAGTGCCTTGCTCAAGGGTCTCACCTCAGTCGTGGTATTGAAGGTGGAAGAGAGAGCTGGTCATTCACTCCCCCCACCTACAACCTTTGGTTTACAAGTCCGACTCTCAAACATTAAGCCACGACTGCCCCTAATTAATTAGAATCTGGAATTTCCCTGCTTATTGAAAGCGCTCATCTTCATTACAACAGCAAACAGATCACTTGTCAGACAAAGAAGAAGGATCTAGAAGGACCACTATCCTTCAGAATTGAGCTCCATCCCTAATCAAACACATCTGCCTGTAACTGTCAAGTAATTCTGAAAACTGGTTCGATTTTCCAGGCATGTTTGATCAGGGATTGGGTTAAACTCTACGGGGGGGGGGCACACTGCACAGTCTCAGGCCTGTCCCAAGACTTTGCACTTCGCCACTTGTTGTCGATGCTGGAGTGACACAATAGTTCAGGATCAACATTTATTTGAGGAAGATGCAGGAATCACAGAGATTAACAAGTCACATACCACAACTATCACAGCAGAAAGTCCATGAATGATTTCCACTTAATACAGACACAACGGAACAAAAACACACTGAATGCCCGTGACACTTGTCGTATTTCCTGTATTTGGCTCAACTGTTCAAGTGGGTGTGAAGACCACAAGTGTGTGTAGAACTTTATTATGAGACACACTTACAACATAGTGTTGTAAAAGTTCAAGTAAAGATTTTACAGAGCTTTATTTACACATTTTATATATACTTCACACTTTAAAACTTCCAAAAAAACACATTTAAAAAAATAATAATAATAAATAACTTTATTAAACTTCCAATGGGGCTTTCTGGTGTGGGGTCAGTGGATTTTTGAAACAAATAATTGCAAGAAGTATAGTGAAAAGAGAAAGGGAGAGCAACTATTAACATTAAGAAATCAAGAATCATTTGTTCAGGTCGGCATGCAAGTCATAGAGGAATTATGAATATGTAACAATGACTGATGACAATCCAGTTCCACTTCCAATTTTTGCAAATATGCCCTTCCCCTGTCAACTTCTTCTTTTCTTCTGTTTTGCTGTAAATTAATCACACAATGCTAAATTGCCCATGATGAAAACCATCGGGAGACCACATACGGTTGTCATATGATTCTCATTCATTCAATTTTTATTAGTATCACAATACTACAATTACAAAAATAAATAATAATTATACATATATCATTACTGTTATGGCAGCAGTAATTGAAAAATAAGGAAAATATTACAGCATTACCAGCAATTCACCGTAATTGCACCGTAACTGTGGAGACATACAAAACCAGGGGTGCCCAAACTCGGTCCTGGAGGGCCGGTGGTGTCCTGCAGAGTTTAGCGCCAACCCTAATCAAACACACCTGAAGCAGCTAATCAAGCTCTTACTAGGCATACTAGAAACTTCCCGGCAGATGTGTTGAGGCAAGTTGGAGCTAAACTCTGCAGGACACCGGCCCTCCAGGACTGAGTTTGGGCACACCTGTACTAGACTGTTCCAACCACTGGACCACTAGTCATTGCTTACTTTGCATGAGTGCCCACTACTGGCGGAACCCATGCAATGATTTTAAAAAGAATGCCCTTGGATTTTCACTCCTGTTCCTGGAGAGCTAACTTCCTGCAAAGTTTAGCTCCAACCCTAATCAAACACACCTGAACCAGCTCATTAAGATCTTCAGGAGCACTTGATATTTACAGACCAATCTAAAGAAGAAGAAAACCCAAAACCAAGACAGGGGATTATAGCACGTTAGGTCAGTTAGGTTGCAAACCGCCAATAAACACCTAAAAAGAAGAAGAAGATATTTACAGATCAGAAGGAGAAAGGAAGACATTTATACAGCATTCAGAAAGAAGTGATAGTTAAAAAGTACAGTAGTCTGAGACGGCAGGAGAAAACTATGCTGCTCACAAGGTTGAGAATAGGGCACACATGTTTAAATAGCTGCTTAAATTCAATAGGAAAACACAAGACTGGATAATGTATACATTGTGGAGAAGTGGAAAATGTAAAACATGCACTCTTGACATGTAGAACGTACTCTGAAAAAAGGAAAGACGAGAGAGGGCAACGAAGAATGGACAATCTATAATTAAGGCTGTTATGATCTTTCTGAAAGAAACTTTCTGAAGTTTGTTTGGTGGGGTTTTTTTTTTCTGTTGATGTTCCTTTTGTTGATCACTTAACAATAACTGTGGAACACACACTATTTATTCACTCATACACTTATCCATTCATATGCAATAAAATGGATAAAAAAAATTTTTTTTTTAATGATGAAAAAGAGCTTGTTTTATCAAAAGCAACACTTAATAATATCTCCTATCAAAGCAAGGCTGTTTTTTAATGACACATGCATGTTTCATAAGATTTTAAAGTTGCGTCCCCACTTTTTGTCAACACCGTCAGACATTCAATCAAATGTAATAAAATCAGGGGCATCTGTCACTCTAAAGCACCCCCTTGCCACAGTTCACCTCTGCAGAGTACATCAGTGTCAGACAGGCTCTGCTAAGTTTTAGTTTTAGAATAT